GAGATATGTCAGGTCATTAGTAGAAGCAAGAGAAGTATTTTCTGGATTTACTTGAAAAATTTAGTATGGCTACTTGCTCATTTGTTCTTACTCTTATGGTGATTAACAAAAATTTATCCATTAGTGAAGGGACTCTTCTAAAAAATCCCTTAATGTACAGAGGAACTATTAGAGCATTATAATAACTCATGAACATGAGACCTGATATAATGTTTGTAGTGAACAAATTAAGTCAATTCTTGCACACACCTACTGATCAACATTGGCAAGCAATCAAGAGAGCTCTATGGTATCTTAAGGGGATTATAGATCTGACTCTTTACTTAAGACCAAGTAAATTTCTTACGTTGCATGGCTTCTCAGATGTGGATTGGGCAGCATGTGTTGATGATCATCACTTAATAGGAGATTGTTGCATCTTTCTTAGAGATTCTCTTGTTGCCTGGTCAGGAAAAAAGTATGAGGTAGTCTCAAGATCTTCAACGGAGTCCAAATATAGAGTATTGGCTGATCTTACTATTGGGATTGCTTGGTTATAATCCTTGTTCTCTAAGATCAGCTTTAAGCTCAAACAGGTTCTAGTAGCATGGTGCGATAATCTGAGCGCATCAGCTCTTGCCTCTAACCTAATATACCACGCTCGAACAAAACACATTGAGTTAGATGTGCATTTTGTCTGAGAACGTGTCCTATCTCACCAACCCTCTATATGCTATGTCCCCTCATCTAATCAAATTGTTTAGATATATTTACCAAAGCTTTATCTCACTTGCGTTTTCTAGACTTGAGATCTAGGCTTGGACTGATAAGAAGCCCTAACACCGAGTTTAAGGGGGAATGTTGAAGTAAAGTCAAAGTCCAAGATAAGAAAGCCCAGTCAGGATAAGCCCACTTAATTATTCTAATTGTCTTATTCTTTTATCATTCATTTATTCTTTTTCTTTTGCATATACATGGCACCCTCAAGATTATTTGGGTTTTGTAAATTGTCTCTATAAATAGAATACAACACTTAGGGCTCTGTGCGCCACTATTATATTTTTTATTTCTGTGTAAATCTTAACTAATTTTATTAGAGTAAATTAAGAAAATTATAGCAAGATTCTTGTGTATGCATGTGGATGTATATATGTATGTATGTATGTATGTATTAAACATGGCATAATAACATTAAGTTCAAATACAAATAAATCAAATAAGGACCTGGGAGTGCCTCAGACAAAGACCATGTCTACTTCCTAATACAATAACATGACAAACAACTTTTCAATAATAATAATAACAAACAACTAACTGCCTATGCTTATTTGGACTAAATATAAATTTAAAATTCACTGAATAAAAGTGCAGCATCTTCCCATTTTGTGAATTATTCGGTGGATTTAAATTCCGTAAACCATACCTGAAAAGAGAAGAAAACCATGTGTATGTGTGTGTATAATGTCAGAGAAACATATATAAGTTCACTACAATTATACTTATGACTTGCAAGATCATCCATATTCAAATTATAAGAAGTTGAAAGGAATTTAAAAGAAGAAGCTAGCCATTTGCATTATTAATCACTTCTTAAGAACGGGAAGACATTACAAGGGCCAGGAGGTAAAGTGGCATTACAAAGAGGACGTGCGTTTCCGTTTTGTGATAGCCAAGTATCAATGCAAGTCTCATGAGGATCCCTTTAGAACATCATCTCGATCTTCCACAGACAGGATGGCAGAGATCTCACAATTATTGAGGATTGTTTGGGAATGCAATCCGATTGTCCAGTCTATTTAAATGAATTTCAAGTTGAGTGATCATGAGATCAGCCATCCTGTCTATAGAAGATCGAGATCATGCTGTTCTAAGGAAATCTGCATATGCCTGTTACTGTGCCTGAAAAAAATTTTCAGGCGTATGTTTCTTTTTGCAAGGTGCAACATTGTAGTTATGGCAATGCCTACAAGGGGGAGTAGGGGAAGGAACAATCCAGACGGTTGAAAGACAGTTATCACAAAAGCATGGCTTAAATTCCTCGGGAGAAGCCATGACAGTAGTGTGAAATGTAAGTATATAATTAACCCCAAGGTTAATGTTAGGTGATGGATATCTATATGTGTGTGTGTATATATATAAATATGGTATATGAATGGTTTAGATACCTAAAGGTCATGTCAATTTTGTGCCCGCATCAGAAACGCGTGAAGAAGAAGAGATCCATGTATGATGAGACGGATAGTTTGTTCATGAGGTTGCTGCTTTGAGATATAGTACGGGTTCATGGCCATCCAAAAGTCACGAGGTCGGAGTTTGCAAATTATTTTTAAGAAATTCAATTCTAAACGGAAATTATTTAATATAATTCTATAATACCTTATCCTGCCGTGTACATTATAGATTATACATACATACATACATATATATATATATATATAGGGTTAAAGGGTAAAAATATTCAAAAAAAAATTTAGCTAGCAAGGAACATTCAGTATCTTTAAGTCAACAAAAATGTAGGGATGTACTCATGAACTCTTTTTCTTGAGGATATCTTTTCTCAAACCATTAAAATGGCTTAATATCCGTTAACATGGACCGGAGATGTTGGTTAAGGAGCAAACATATTTTAAAAAAAAAAATCCAGGTGTGCTACCCATTAATTTTATAAATGAGCTCAGTCTTTCATAGAGCTAATAATTTAGATGAATTGGACTTATTTGGGTTGCACTTAAAATACCTAAATATAAAAAAAAATTATATAACTAAACCTTGCCTTATTTTATTTTCTCTTTTTTATCCAATTTTAATTTTACCTTAAAAAATTAAGATTTTTAATTTTTACTTAATTTAAGTTTTATTTTACTTATAATAAAAAAAATTCAGGTATTTGAATTAAGTTCATTTGGATTTGGGCTTGGCTGGAATTTCTTTAGTCAATGAACATCAGCCAACAGGATGGGAAAGGATGCTTTTTCTAAAAAGAGTTCAAAGGCATGCATGTAGTAGTATTGACTATTTAAAGACGACGCTCCTGGCAACGTGGATATTTTTAATTTCCCTTTAATCCTAAAATATATTGTTGGGCTTAATTCAATCGGAGCTAGTCCCTCGTCTTTGATTCTTTTACAAATTGGACAGTTTGGATGATGATGGAAAAGGAGAAATGTCCATTAACTAGTTTCTCTACAATTGGATTCTCATGCACTAAATGTTCATATATAAAGAAGCAAACAAATGATAGATATCTTTTTTATCTACTCTGTCTCTGATTAGCCTTAACTATGTATGGGTAGATTTCTTGTAGAGTGCATTTGCTTTAAGTAATAAATCACAACATCTATAACTTTAATTACTACTTAATTTATATTAATATTGATATTGATTATACATTTGGTTATTCCACAGATGTACAATGCCAAGGTATCAGACTTTGCTTTTGCCAATGAAGCTCATTTATCATCAACGCAAGTGGTTATGCTGCTCCTGAGAACTTTGCAACAGGTGAGATCTTCATAAATTTCCTTCCTCAGCCATTTCCCTTTTTATCAATACAATGGGAAGGGGATGACAAATAAGACAGGACTGGCTTCATAATACTTACCATCCTTCATAATGTGAGATGCTAGGTCAAACCCCGGTTGAACCACACACTCAATGACACAATTATATGTAATCTATTCTACTCATCATGCGTGCTTTACTGAATCCATTTAGTAAATGACATAAATCAACTCATTCAATAAATGATCCATGTGACATAATAATATAGCCATTTAATTTAATTGAATAACTGTAAAATATTTTATTATATAATAATCATAAAGTATCAAATTTCAAACTTTTAAAGGAGAGAAAAGTACATGAGGAGTGTTCTAACATCTGATTGTGAGGGTTTTGAATTTTTAAAGAAAAATATATCTTGATAATTTTCAAGTGTTGATGAAATCTAATTATTTAATTGGAATACTTGTTGAGTGAGTATATTTAGGCTACTCACCAAATTTAAATCATGCGTTATTGTATAATTGCAATCACATTTTGTGTAGGCAGTTAGGCAGTAATTAAGCCTTTGTTTGGATGGAGGCAAAAGTGTAAAAAAAAAAAAAAAGATAGAGAGGAGAGAAAACTAAAAAAAGAAAGTTTCAAAATAGTAATTTTTTTTATTATTTTTAGGATTCTTTCCTTTTAGTTTCCTTCCTTACTATTTTTTCCCAGATCCAAACAAAGAATGAAGTCTCTATTCGGATATGTGTGTGTGTTTTGAAAATATATACCCCTAAACATGATGAATTACCAATATTATTAATTTTGGCCATTGTATACTATATTGTTTTTAAAATCATATCGATTTGACTGGTCTAAATGATAAACCGTTAAATCGATACTATGTTAGGTTCTAAAGACTCTCCAAATTATTGTTTTGTATCATTTAAGCAGAACCGGTCAACATACTAGTCACTAGCCATAAACGGTTCTTGTGTAAACTCAAAAAAATAAAAAAAAATAGAACTTTAGTTCATCATGAAATATAATTTACCGACTCAACGTACGCATTTGATACAAGACTAGAAGCAATATAATGCAATACCTACAGGGGATAACCCAAAAAAAAAAAAAATCTCATGACCAAATTAACTATACTACTTTTCGGTCAACAAAAAAATTAACTATACTACTTTGATAATCCAATTTTAATTTCATTTTATGAAATACATATGATAGGAATCCATATGCTCGCTTTCAACAGTCTCTTGTGCCCATTTCGAACTACTATATATTTGCAAAGGATGGGAAACAAGAATCACATCCAGATCCTCCAATAACGGATCCAGACTTGGCATTATTTATACGAATACTCCGATCATGGTTCATTTCTATAGCTTCTCTCCCAGTAAGTCTAATCAACCTGCCAATAGCAAAACCCTCCATATGTATATATATATATATATATATCTTCTTGAGTACCCGCAAGAAAAAGAGACAATATATCCCCGGAAGTTTTCAGAGAAAACAAGTTAATAATGTTGAGCGGTAATTTTCCCGAGGATCTGGTAAGGGAAATCATGGTGAGGCTGCCTGTGAAATCGCTGCTTAGATTCAAATGCGTAGCGAAATCTTGGTACGCTCAAATCACCGACCCACATTTTATCTCCAAACACTTTGAATGGTCTGTTTCTATCTCTAGTAATTTCCGCAACCAACTTATCTTTCGAAGGCACGGTCTCACTCTGAAGCCTTGCCTCTCCTTGATTTCCAAAGATCAGGAACCTAAATATTGTGTGCCTCATGACATAGAATTGCCTTTCGCCGACAAGGATTTGAGATGGATCACAGTTTATGGCCAATGTAATGGCATTTTCTGTCTCCAAGGTGTGTTTAGAGGAGATAATCTTGACGGCACTTTTACTTATTTTGATGGTCGTAGGCATATCATAATTCTATGGAACCCAGCAACAAAAGACACGAAGCTTCTTCGTCTGCCTCAAATATTGGATCCCATAGACATGGCTCGTGCAATGTATGGGTTCGGAATTGATCTTATTACCAAAGATTACAAGATTGTTCGATTCTCAAGTTCGGTTTTGAAGGAAGAGAAAAACTTCCAGTTCAGGTATATAATCTTAGTACTGATTCATGGAAAACAATAGATGTTGCTGTCCCAGCTGTTCAAATCTCTTTTACAAAACGGAGGACTTATTTGAATGGAATATATCACTGGCTAGCTTTTGAAATGGATGAGACCATTTTGTGGTTTGATTTTAGCAAAGAGAGTTTTGGGAAGATTCGATGTCCTCCGATTGGTTCTTGTTATGTTGAAGCAAGTCTTGCTGTAATAGATAAGAGTCTTGCTTTAACTACTAGTTATATAAGGCCTGGCCGCAATTACATGTTTGAGATTTGGTTGATGAATGAGTATGGTGCTGAGAGTAGTTGGGCTAAAAAGTTTAAAATTGGGCCACAGAGTGAACTTGATTGTTTCATAGGGTTTTGGGGAGATGATGAAATTGTTGGGGAAAATGAAGGTCAATTGGTTTTATATAATCTTCAGACACAGCAGGTTCAAAGGCTTCAAATCTATGGAGATCCAGGATTGAATTTTATGTTTGGCTATGCGGAAAGTTTGGTTCCTTTGGGGATCAGACAAGGAAACAAAAAAAGTCTGATCCATCAGGTTATGTACTTTCTCGCATTTTCATGAAATTTTTTTACTTGTGTTCCATACAGGCTTTAATAAGTAATTAAAGAGGAGCAAACTAAACATAAATTAAAAACTAATCAGAAACTTACACATAACTTTAATTTGAGTCCATATTAATACATCAGAGTTGGAAGCAACTTCAAAAACTTAGCCCTCGCAAGAAAGAACAAAAGAAGAAGCCATGCCTAGTTACAGCTTCGCTCCATGTGCTGACATGGTGGCTGAATTAAGGATATTGGATTCTAATTTGTTTTTTTTTTCTATGGTTTCTTTTAATTATGTTTAGCAGCACTATATATTCTAATGTGAATTTAAGGTAAATATGTGAATTTTTTAATTAAATCTTTACACTTTTTTTCACTGGGATTGAGCTCTAAAATTTTTCAATATGTTCCTGATCGTCTTTCAAAAAAATTACCTAACAAATTTGAATGTCTTCTGACTTTAAAAATCAAAAGACATTCAAATTTTCTGGTTAACTTCTCTTTTTCTGTGTCATTGATTCTAAATGTCAAGATTCACTTTTTTTTCCCAATCAATCATCATATCATTGATCCAAATAAACATATAATAATTATATTTCACTAGATTAATATATCATTGATGTTCCAATACAACTAGAGCATAAGTAAATGACACTAGAACAGGACTTTCTAATTTCACTAAAGTAATATAATAACTACTAAATTTAAACTGCTGATCTTATAAATTTGCAATCCACTCCTAGGCGGAACATCTCTCTATAGAAGGTGCTGCAACTTTGAATTCTTCATACCTGAAAAAGAAATAGGGTGAAAGTCGTCATACGCATATATATTCTTATATTCTTATGCTTTGACCAAATTATATATATATATATATATATATAATGTAGGACTCAAATGATGAGAAATTTAAGGTGAAAGACATATTAATTATACCACCATAGACTAATTTTCTGTCTTCATCCGTCAGTGAGAAGAACTAGAGGAGGACCCAAAAGGACAGTACTTATAAAGCTTATATTGCTCAGGCAGTCTTCCTTTACAGAGAGGACATGTGTTTTGCTGTCTCAACCACTCAATAATGCACTCCTCATGAAAGAAGTGATCACATGGTAACACCTTTCCTATTGCGTCTGGTTGAAATTCTTGTTTACAGACACAACATTCAGATTGCTTTTCCATCAAATCTTGAGTAATCTTGACATCCGGGATCTTCTCAATGGAAGATTCAGAAGCAGCATGTTTGGAGGCTCTTTTTGACTCTAACCGCAGGCTAAAGTCATCTACAGGGCTAAATTTAATATTTGTAGCCGTTATTTCTGACTTCCGGCAATGAGGACAGACGTTAGAAGGTGAAGGAGGAAGGTAGAAGAAGTAATGACAGTGATCACAGCTGTATTGGTGATCTTGAGAAGGATTATCATTATCAGAATCAGAAGAAGCCGTGTCAATGAAGAGAAAATAAAAACAGAAAGGTTTTGATAGTGTGAGAGATATATAGAAGTGTGAAACCCAAAGATTGAAAGGCGATGATATTTATATTATTTGAATGATTGTAAAAAAGTCATTTATCATGCCCAATTCGTGCCTGCTGCATAATTAGAATCGCGTGAAGAGACGAGACAGCTCAATTAAAAGATATATGGAGCATCATGACTGGTCAAATTTGAGATTCTTCAAACTCATTCAAAAGCCATGAGATTGTTGTTGAGTAGTCCTGAGTCGCTTCTTACTCTGTGGTTCGTACCGAGTGGTTTCATATTGAATTATTGGTCATTATTGGAACATGAAGAGAATCCATGAATGGTCATGAATGAGACTAATAATAAAAGTCCATCAAACATAAAGGAAAAACGATCGATATTTAAGTCTTACAAGTTTAAATTAACAATATTTAGATTTTAATTTTTTAAAAAAGAAATGGTAAATATTGATTTAAATAACTACAAATAGAAATCTCAATTATAAATTGAAGATTACATTTAAAACTTAAATGTCTTTTTTTGACAATTGAGACTCCTGAATGTGTAGTCGTTTAAACTGATATTCGCAGTTCATTATTAAAAAAATTATCAAAAACTTAAAACATTTATTAATTCACTCTTGAGAAAAGTTAATGCCATTCAAAAATAAAAGCTCAACATTGTGTACTATTTGGTAGTTAATAATTCTAGCACCTGATTATTTCATTTTTATTATCAATTATCAACTAGTTTTTGAACCTATGCGATGCATGGGTGTATTAAATCATCTGATTGAGATATTAGAACCTAAAGGTGCTTGATTCAACTAGTCACAAGAATTGAATTAATTTATGCTGTAGTCTTGAGTTCTTAGATAGGCAGTTATATTAAATAAATATGCTAAAAATATTCCCAAAATACCCATGAGGCTATCGTTAGTAATAACAGTCTTATACAATGGGGTTCGAATTAGTCTAAGCAAGAGGTGGCATTATCTTAGATCCAAGATACAAAGCGATATTAGAATATTATATAAGAAATAAAAGTGTAGCAATGCAAGAAAGCAATAATTCAAATATAAAATAATCATGATCTTACTTGCTATCTATAATATAATTAGGATAGGATTGCATTTGTAAAAGTAAGTGTGAATATATAGATTAATAGCAATGGCAAAAGCATGCGTATATATAATATTATGCTAGTCGTTAATATGATATATATAAAATGAATGTGCAAGGTCACAGCACACGTTTTAATGCGGTTGTTAAGCCAATTTGTGCGTATGCAAGCCATAAATAAAAATTGTTCGTAGAAATTTGACGCACCGTAGGCTTGTATGTATAGCCTCCATTATGCTGAGAATTTGATGATGGAAAGGTTAAAAAGAATAGTTATTGTTGATATAAATGCCTCTCTCTCTCTCTCTCTCTCTCTTTATATATATTTTACTAGGACTCTATATGAATTTGTATAACATGGGGAAAAAATAGGTCTATGTTTTAATAATTGGAAAAAAAAATTATGGTTAAAAATTATTGATAAGAAAAATAAAAGGAGCGGCAAAACTTTTGTTCAGCAGTTTAGTTTATAAAAAAAGTTTCGAGTTCTCTGAAAAAATAATAATAATAAAACATGAATAATGTGAATTATGTTTACGTGACCATTGGCCGCACAACGTTATATTCAAGGTGGGGGGGGCAAATGTAGCCCTTGAGTTTGGAAAAAATTATAAAAAAAATTCATATATTTTAATATTTTGCACCCCTTAACTCAAATATTTAGTATCCCTTAAGTCAATTTTAAAAATTTTGGGTTCAAAATTTTTTTAATTATTTTTAAATTATTAATTTTAAAAATGTTGCACCCCATGGCTCAAGATCCTGGCATCCCCACTGTATGCGACACTCCCCTACTGTGCCAATTGCCTCCAAGTTTCTGACCCCACATGCTCCAATTTATTGTATAAAAATTATAAACACGTGTGGAAAAATTTCTCTGCAACTTAACCAAACTCATTGAAAGTCGATTCTTTCAAAATTCTAAAACATCAATATGGGTCTCACTTTGGGTTAAATTAAAATTAAATTTTCAAGAAAAATGACACAAATAAGCCCAATCTCACATTGTGGAATTGGGAGTCCTGCTTTAACAAATCAAATAGTAATAGTAAGAATGATTTCTACATTTATATTGAATTTTATCTTGCTTACTATTATCATTCACTATTATTGATAAACTTGAACCTCTCCATAAATGAACCTTAAATTGTTCTGGACTCTTATTACTTTTTTCCTCCACAAGAGCCCTCACTACCATTCTCCTGATCTGCGAACGGTGATGCTTGTTTGGCTCTCACGTTAGTGCAAAAATCAATTTTTACCATAGTTAAAAACCTATTTATGCAATAAAAGATGGCGTGTGTGGTAGAAATGAGTGTAGTAATAATAGAAAATTATTTGCCATAGGTTACCTTGTCATTTGGGCCTTCGGTCTATTTGTTCCGTATTCAGGTCCAATATCTCCTTGTTTTGGTCCCTTCACCTTGATTTCCATAAATGAACAACAAGTGAGATAATAGTCAATGATTTTCCCCAATTTGAAGCTGTATTAACTTAATTAAATCATGCCATAAAATATATCATAACATAAGCAAAATAGTGGCTCATCGAACTCCTTCACACTTGAAACGTAACTCTGCTTGTCCTCATACAATAGAATAACTATAATCCTCCAGCTTAGCTTTGATTGTCAAAGACTTGTGTACAACTTCAAAAGGTGGAAATTGCTTAGATAAAGAACGCTGCAAACAAAATCAACCCTAACATTTTTCCTAACAACACCAGTGGAGAGGGAGCTTTACCAAAAGCAAAAAACAAAAAATCAGGTCCTCCACAAAAGAAGAATTTTTTTACCTTTTCTCCCTTACCAGAATGATAAAAAAGGCATTTGAGAAAGCACATACGCTACCAGGGAAACAAATTCATTGATCACCTTATTAAATAACTATGTTATATATGTTTCCTTTTCTCATAAATATTTAGTTTAGGATGCATCTTGTAGATGACAAAGGAACAAAACTTTCCACATAGCCAAATGTAAAAGACATGTCTCTGGGATCCATTCGAGGCTTCGGAAGAACCTTAACCACTTTTGTTGCCGGGTTCCACAAAAATATGATATCATGACTTCCATCTGCAGAATCAACACCATCTTCTTCACCAAAGAAACCTTGGAGGCAGAAAATCCCATTGCAAGCACCATGAACTGATATCATGGCTGGAAATTTCTCAGGGAAGTACAATAAGGTTCTTGTTTGGAAATCATGGTTGCGCAGTATTTCCAATTAGGAAGGTCCATTCGAAAGATAAGTTGCGTGAGGAAATGATTGGAGATAGAATCAGACCGTTCAAGGTGTTTGGAGATAAAATATGGGTCGGTGATTTGAGCGTACCAAGATTTCGCCACGCATTTGAATCGAAGCAGCGATTTCACAGGCAGCCTCACCATGATCTCCCTCACCAGATCTTCGGGAAAATTACTGCTCAACATTGATTATTAGCTTGTTTTCTCTGAAAACTTCTGGGGATAATTGTCTCTTTTTCTTGTGGGTATATTGTTGTCTGATTCATTCACTGAAAGGCTCAAGAAGGGGTGTCTGTCTCTCTGTGTGTGTGTGTGTGGAGGGTTTGCTACTGGCAGGTTGATTTGACCTACTGGGAGAGATAATGCTAAGTCTGGACCGGTTATTGGAGGCTCTGGATGTGATTCTTATTTCCCATCCTTTGCAAATATATAATAAATCGAAATGGGCATAAGAGCCAGTTAGTTGAACTTATCCTGATTACGCTGAATATGATTACAAAACAAGCATATGGATTCCTATCATAAGTATTTCGTAAAATGAAATTAAAATCGGATTATCAAAGTAGTATAGTAAGATTTTTTTGACCGAAAAAGTAGTATATGATTAATTTGGTCGTGAGATTTTTTTGGTTATCCCATATATATAGGTATTGAATTATATTGTCTTTTAATCTTGTATTTTTTTTTTGGCCAACGGTTCTAATCTTGTATTGAATGCACACGTTCAGTTGGTGAATTATATTTTATGATGAACTATAGTTCTATTTTAATCTATTGATTTTACACTAGAACCATCAGTTTATGGCTAGTGTTGGACCCTACTTAAATGATACAATTTAAGTCGAGTGTTTAGAACCTAACCATTTTGACCGGTCAGATCGATATTATTTTCGAAACAATATAATGCCATAAATTAATATTGGTAATTCATCATGTTTATGGGATATATATGGTGCCTAACTGCGTTCACAAAATGTGATTGCAACAATAAAAAGTGGATTTATATTTGGTGGGTAGCCTTAAATGAACTCACTTAATGAGTCTTCCAATTAAAGTCATTAAATTTGATTGACACTTAAAAATTACCAAGATACATGTCACACTCCTCATGTACGTGTTGCTTCCCTCCAAAAACTTGATAGTTAATTTGGTGTTTTCTGTAAATTATATAACAAATCTCTTAACCATTCGATTAAGTTAAATAATTGTTATTATTATGTAAGACATTTATTGAGTGAGTGAATTTATTCTTTTTATTGAATTTATTGAATCCAAATCTAATAAAACATGCATGACAAAAAGGAAAAGGCTGTACTTTTATATATTTGTGAGTGCATAGTTCAATTGGGGTCCAACCAATTACAAACTGCTTGAGAATGAGAAGGATGGTTAGTATTATGAACAGAAGGTCTCTCACACTTTGCTGTTTCAACATATTGTAATGTGTCCAGTGTCCACAACTTCTTGCATTGATGGCCTTAATTTGGGATAGTTTGGATGCATTTGAGGGCAAGTTAAGCCACCCGTTGTGCTAACCTTGTGGGTGCTTGCCTCGTAAACTTACATCCATTATTAGGCTTCTCATTTTCATTCTACGTATTTCACACGTTTGATTTGAGGCAATCCACCAATAATGTCTGGTTTTGCGCTGCCACATTGCTTCATTATTGTATGAGCTATCCTTTTCCCACTTAGAAGCTCCACTACAACTATACAAAATCCGTACACATCACTTTTCACACTCGTATGTCCTGATATTCATTGGCATATATACGTGAAAGTATATATTAAATTGATATATGCGCGCGCGCGCGCGAATATAGTGAACGGTTGGGTTATGAATATGGGAAGCATCTTGACTTGAATTTTTAAATAATAAATTCTCAAGTTTGACTCTTGTAAACGAAAAAAAAATTTTATCCAAAAGAGATTCATTTGATTGAAGCCCAGTCAGCTTGAATTTAATTTAGCAAGTACCAGATATTAGATAGTTTATTAAAATAATTTAATGAGATAGTTTGAATATAATTCTCTAGTTATGCAAATCAAGTATAGAGAGAGAGAGAGAGAATGGCCAGTAGGTCTCTAGAATCGGATCAAGATCCTCTCCATACTCTCTCAATACATCTCTCAATATTTAATTATATTCATCTATTTAATTATTCATTCGACTTAATGACAACACATTGTTGTTATGACATTAAAATAAATATACTATTTATTTCATGATGATCATAAAGAAATATTATAATTTTTTTAAAAGCATTCAAGAGATAATAGTTAATCATTATAATTTTTTTAAAATAATTTAAGAGATAATAGTAAATAATTTATTTATTTTAGTGTCATAATTAACAATATGACATCATTAAATCAAATCAAATAAATAATTAAATGAATGGATGAGATTAAGTATTGAGAGATGTATTGAGAAAGGGAGTGGAGAGGATCTAAATTCCTCTAGAGTCAATTTCCCTCCACTGAAGGAAACCTCCTATGCCTCTCCACTGAGGCAAGGGAAATTTGAACTGTCTAAATTTAATCTAAACAACTTAGATTAAGTATTTTAAATTTATATTTTTAAAATAAAAATATATAAAATATTAGTTCAATGATCTATTAGTTCAATGGGGGGTTGACATTGATTTGTATACTATGTTTTTTAGAGACAATATTTTTCAATAAAAGTATCAAAATACCTTTTATTTTTCCGCATTCTCATCTTCAGAGTGAAAATTATTGAATATTCATAAATGACTTCAACAAGTCGGTGCAAGAAAATGAAGAGTATTTTGTTCCCCCCCCCCCCGGAAAATAAATTGTCAGGTCCCATTCATGTTTTTATTTTTGCTTTCGTGGCTTATATCCAAATATTTGATCCTTTTGGTCCTTGTAACCAATTTTCCTTCCATTTTATTATTTTAAATAAAACAAAATCATAAATATTAATTTGATTTAGACATGGATGGATCGTACTGCCTCAAAAATCAAAGGATAGCAATTAACAGGATTGATTTCTAGTGACCGTCCTCCTCACAGTGATTTTGATGGCACAAGGTATATGTTTGGGTATATTCAATGGAACCCGACATGGCCACATCTCTTGCTGCCGACAGACGGTTCCAGAATTATTTTTTTAATGCATGATCATGGGAAACCATGCAGCAGAAAAAACTATCCAATCATATCAAAATACACGATATTTTTGCACCAAAGAAGTTTATCAAAGATTGTTAAGTTAAGATTATCATTTAATTTGGTAAGCAAATATATTGGCACATCTGTTTACTTTGTTGAATATATAGTTAAAAATAATGTCAAATCTCTTTTCTTTTAGAAGACTGAGTTGAATGAGCACAATGTTTGTGAATAGATTGTAATTTTGTTAGCTTATTATCCTAATAAAACTTGATTCCTTTCAAAATGTTTGGTAGTTAACAATAGTGTCAAGGTGATAATCAAGACATTTGAAAATTTTCTTAATCTAGTTTGCATGGCCATCACAAATCAAGTCTTCACAAGCCAAAGCCTCATTAATGTTAACCGATCCGTCAATGTTGAGTTTAACCAGCTTATTTTAAAAAAGTTTCATTTTACTTCATATCTTACAACTTCTTTTTATAAGTAGTTAATCTTGGATTGTAAGTTGGTATCATTGATTAATTGTTGTTTGCTATTGCATGCAATGTCCTTGCCTAGTGCATCCTCTTCTAAAAAAAATGTTCTTGCATCTTGCCTTTCAAATATTTTAGTGTATCAGGGCAAAAAGATTTTGCCAAGAGTCCTTCTTGAGTTTTAACATTTGACATCATTTTTTGCATTTCAAGTTATTCGCTCCTACACAAAAAGAGAGAAGAAAATATTGAATTTAGAATGCTTAATTAGTCTCATCCAAATTTTCCTAACTTCCTTACAATCATGCAAGATATGAATTGAAGAGTCTGAGAAGTTGCAACCATATGGGCAAATCCTTGGATAAGGGTTATTTCTATTAATAAAAGTATAATTGATTTGGAGGCAATTCCAACCAGCTTTCCAAAAAAAAAATCTAATTTTTTTATATAGGTTGGCCATTTTAAATTTTAGACCAAATTTCATAATTATTTTCAAAATAGTGGTGGAATCATTTATGTTATGAACTTATGGCTGCCTAGCTATTTTTCAATTCTAATTCTTCGCGCCAAACACAATAACGGAGCTTGATTCCTTTTCCTATTCCCTCCCCATTTGCGCACCAAACAAAGCTACATTTAAAAATTATATTTATTTTGAGATGATTCTAAAAATTTCATATGGTTTCAAAAATCTAAGTGAGCATAGACCTTAGGCATATTTTTATATATGATATAAAATTTTAAAAATAAATTATGTTGTTCAAATTTCAAAAACATAAATTTTTATAACTAATTGAAAAATACAAGCATATTTTCTTAACAGAACTTTATATTAATATTATATTGATATTATTTTTTTGGTATCAAATTATCAGGTATTTAAAAAGTCACATTAAGTTTCGATTAATGCAAATTGATATTGGAAAAATATTAAATCTCTCCTTGAATATTTAGCATACTAATATACCCAAAAGTCAAACGTGAGATTAGTGAATAAGCTAGAACATCGCATTACAAAAATTTTGAAATTATTTTTTACTAATATATATATTTTATTTTATACAAAATAAATATTATTTAAAAAAGAGAGTGGATAAATGTAAAGAAATTTTTAGTTGATACCATTACATCATTTCTTTTAAACATATAATATGATATAATCCTTTACTTGCATAGTATTCAACCCTCCATGGGGGAAAAAAAGATTCTCTGTCGCTGGACATGAATATCTAGATAGATCTAAATGGAAAAGGAACCAATATAAATTTTTACCCTGCGGTCAAGTCTCGTGACTGATTCCAGGGCTCTCTTCTCAGCTTTTAATAAGACGAAGCAAAGTACAGTAAAAGCTTTCTAGGTCGGCTCACCACCGTCGCGTTCTCGTCTTAGCTTCGTCTCTCCTTTATTGCATCGTTATCGAAACCTCAGCTCAATGCCTCAATCCCAAAGAGACACAGACACGCCCTGATCTGCAATAACAACTACTTCTCATTCTCCTTCTTTGCATTGAAAACGCCCAAATGGCCTATGTAGATCACGCCTTCTCCATTACGGACGACGATCTCATGGAGACTTCCTACATCATCCACAACAAGCCTCCCATCAAGGAGATCGCCCTCGCCGTTTCCCTCCTCGTCTTCGGAACCCTAGGTATCGTCATCGGCTCCCTCATGGCCTACAATCACATCGGAGGCGACTCTTCTCACGGTAACCCTACTCTTTGCCCTTTCCTTCTTGCGAGTTTCCCCCATGGAAATTCGTTTTCCGGTGGGGTATAAGTGAATTCTTTTTGTCAATTGAGCTGAAATTTCTAATCTGAAATTCTGAAATTTTTCTTTTTTTTTTTTTGTGATTTATTGGAAAATAAACTTGAACTCGAAACTGGGGTTTTTGAGGTATTCGCTTGTCAGGTGGTTGGTTTAGTTGAAAACTTGGGTGGATGATTTTATCTTCTCCTGATCTTGAGAATCTCAGCGACATTGGAGTATCAATTGCTGTTATGGACTTATGGCCTATGTTGCGGATTAACCTGTTGAAATAGGAGTGAATTTTTTGTGAAAAGACTCTGAATTTCTATAAGATAGAGGAAATTTTCTTTCTTTCTTTCTTTTTTGTTTCTTTAGCTGATGGTTTGCTGGAATGAAATTCACTTGACCAGAGGTTGGGCTTTGTCCACTCTGTTAACTCACTAACTAGGCACTGGCTTTCTTGTTTTTAATGCTCTAATAGCCCAAAGGGAATGTTGTAAACCTGCCTCGATGAGCTTAATTTACCCGAGTACAGATGCTGATACAGATTTATGAGCTTCTTAGCCGTTGCTCATACAGATTTATGAGCTTCTTATTTGTTGATTTGAATGTATTTGTTGAATATTAGGGCTCTTCTTTGCTGTACTGGGGACGGTATTGTTCATTCCTGGTTTCTACTATACGCGGATTGCATATTACGCTTACAAGGGATACAAAGGATTCTCATTTTCAAACATACCTCCTGTGTAGCTGGCTCTCTGTTCTTAGGGTCAAGTTCAGATAGCTTTCGCATGTACAGATCTTCCTTGGCTGTTCATTCCTCTTTCTCCTTGTTCTCCTTTGTTTAATTTCCCCTTCGGTTTCACTGGAGATATAATGTGTATTTAGATTTCGGTCGCTTCCAAACCTGAGCAATACAGTTGGTTTTGTACATTTTACTATATTTGATCAGTTCGTTTGTGATATGTTGAGCACACTATCTTTGTTATCTTAGTATCTTGGATATCTTGGATGTCAATGCTTGTGTTGTTTTTGTCACGTCGGTACCCAAAATGCTTGGTGTAGTCAAGTATGCGAGTCATCACATGACACCAGAGTTTGGATAGAATGGATAGAATGGCGATAAACCTCTCTTTTGTGATATGTTGAACACACTATCTTTGTTATCTTAGTATCTTGGATATCTTGGATGTCAATGCTTGTGTTGTTTTTGTCACGTCGGTACCCAAAATGCTTGGTGTAGTCAAGTATGCGAGTCATCACATGACACCAGAGTTTGGATAGAATGGATAGAATGGCGATAAACCTCTCTTTTGTGATATGTTGAACACACTATCTTTGTTATCTTAGTATCTTGGATGTCGATGCTTGTGTTGTGTCATGTCGGTATCCAAAATGCTTGGTGTAGTCTAGTATACGAGTCATCACATGACACCAGAGTTTGGATAGGATGGATAAAATGGCGATAAATTTGTAATTGTATCTCAAATTTTTTTCTCCCAAACATGAGAATCTTGAATTCCTTGATATTAAGATGTTAAAGAACGAGATGGTAAAGAATGGTATGCAAGATGCTAAAGAATGTATGTTTAACAGTATGCTGAACAAATCATCAGCATCCCTTGTACCTATTCCTTTATCTCCAGCTATAGCTGGATGTAGAATAATGAAGTTTGAAAGCGTTCCTGTGAGTTACACTGGATTATACTTCTATGCGGGTGTGGAGTTGTCATATGAACTCGACTCAGGCTCATGGCAAATTCACCGACTGGAAGAGAAGAGAGAAGAGAACTTGAGAAGAGAAGTTTTTCATTTTGGAGATATTTCAGAGAGTGTTTAAATATGGTTTCATGTGTCCCATATTTGATTCCCACTCCATGACGGATTTACATATGTGAAAGCTTTGTCCACAATTTAAAAAGGGGAATATTATGCTCAAGTGCCCACTTAAATTACATTTAAATTCTGGTAAAGCCTCGTTCCTTAATGTGGGCTTATTTTTGGACCTGATTTATCAAAGGTGGATATCCCAACACTGGAAAACGTTTTATGATTCTTGTGGGAGATAGAAGCACTTGATTGGAGGCTTTGTTTTTTGTCTTTATGGATACAGTCTATTCGGTTAATAGATATTACTACTTCAACTTTGTGTATTATAACCTAAAGAAGGACCAGCAAAGTCTAAACAAAGTATGCTATTACAATTTTTGGAGTATCCTTAAGAATTATAATCTCTTTAAACCGATATAATGAGCAAGTTTGCAATGTAGTCAGCACATGAATTAGTTTATCTAAAATCATGGTATAGGTGACCTCCTAATCCTTTATCAAAGATTTCTAATATCATGCAATGTGTGGAAAGTTGGGTGATTACTATCATATATGTTCATGATTTCAATTTTTTTTTTTTAGCCAATGGCCTGGTAGTTTAATGGTACATAAGTTTTTCTATAAATGGGAGGTTACGGGTTTAATTTTGCTTATAAATGCAGGTTGTTAGTTCTTGTATCTTTAATTCTTTTATTTTTTTTTTTCATGCATGACTTGGCCAATTATTTCCCCACCTTTAGTTACTATTTGTGAAATATCTAATATTTCCCTTATAGTTTTTAAAATAGACTCATTTTATTATTGAGCGCAATAAATTTAATTTTGGAAAAATTATACAAAAGTCTCCCAAATATATAAATGACAAAGAAGCACTGTGAATTGAGATAATTATGAAGTTCCAATGTACTTTTATGGCATAATTTGTTTTTGTAAAATTACCGTATCACCCAAAAAGAATCCCCTATCTCCGCCTTCTTCTGCGACAAAGCACCAGTTAATTCAACCTTCTTCTATGGCAACATGGTTTCAGATTTGAAGGTGTGAAGGTTCACTAGTTTTAGATCTCTCTGCTGTTAGCTCAATTTGAATGTCACTTGCGGACCCTCTTCTCTTTTGTAGATCCTAGTTCAAAGATCCTTTTCCATGTGAGTTTGAACGTCCTCCACTCGGCGGTTGTGACTGAGTTTGAACGACGACGACGTCATCCTCCTCCTCTTACTCTCTGACCTTCCTTTTGTTTTTTTTTTTTTTTGGTTCCAATTATTCGTGCTTGAGTTCTTACAGTTTAGATTTTGTGCTGCCTAATGTATTTTATTTGATTTTATGATTGTTGGTGATTGGATTTTTGAATGGTTTGTAAACTATTGATTCATTCCTGATTTTCATTTGATTAATCTAGGTTGAGAATATAGTAAATTTTTTCACTAAAATATACAGGGATAAACTCGAGAGGAAGTAGAAAGTGGCTTGGACATGGTGTTTTTTAGGAAAAAAAAATATTTTGAGGTTTATTTCCATATGTAATTCATGCAAGTTAAAATGGGATTAAACAAAGCAGTCTTGGAGTAGAATGCTACTATCAACGAAGAAGACAGAGTTCTGGAGTTGGCTGTCGGTGGTGTTCCATTGTAGAAGGCCGAGTTGGGCAGGATTCTTTTGGGTAATACGGTAATTTTACAAAAACAAATTATGTAAAAAAAAAAAGGGACTTCATGATGATTATTTTAATTCACAGTATTTCTTTGTCGTTATATGTTTTGGAGGAATTTTTATATAATTTTTCCTTTAATTTTTTAAATTCATATAATATGGTATTATAAGTGAAACTATTCTGATCCACTTAAATTAATCCATCCATTATGAGAATCAACTTATATAATTGACAGCTCTTGAGCATTGAAAGAATTAAGGTAGGCAGTGACCTTATATCTTATTTGTATCCATTAGTTTACAAGTATGCTCGAAATGAGAATCTTTTTTTCTAAAAATAAAAGAACAATACTATTAAAAGGAAAAACATGCAACAATTAATTGAGTTCCAAATTTTATTTCTTAAATAAAATCAATATTTAGATTTTGTGTTCAGAAATAAAATTGTAATATAGAATTGTAAATCAAGGTAGATGAAGTTGCAAATACAAGAGAGTAAGTTGTCAATACCTATAGCTGACAAAATAACATTATAAAATTCAATGTTGAAATCTTAAATTTCTAAATAAAATTAGGAACTCAAGTTGCATATTAAGGTAAATGGAATTACAAATTAGAGAAATTAAATTGCAAATTCTTTGGAATTGAATAAGTAATTTTACATGAAAAAATAAATATTGAGATTATGTTCATAAATAAAATTGGGATATAAAATTGTAAATTCAATAGAAAGGTCTTATGGAGAGTAATTTGTGTCCCTGTGAGGAAAATATCATACATATCCTATGGGATTATCATATTGTAAAGAGCATCTAGTATTCTAGGGCAAGCCATCTTTCAGGTATATCAATGTTAATTCGGACACCATTGGGTCCTCCAATTAAAGGTAAAGTTGCTGGTCACGGATTTTTTTGCATGCCCAAGGGAAGAATCGAACTCCTCCAACTTGGTTTAGAGACCAAGTAAGGAACCATTAGGCCACATTGTCGTGGTTTCTAAAACATTTTTATTAACACTAACATGCATTAAAGTTTTTTTCCATGATAATTTGCATGATTGGCTTCGGTGGATTCTCATCACAATCCAGGAAAGGTTCACCTATACCAATGGCCTTGGCAAAAAATATTTGCTAAGATTAGTTGGGAGCTGTGGACTACAAGGTTCAAGAAGACCTTTGAGGAGCACACTCCAACCACAAAGGAAATTGTACATCGCTTTACAAATTTGCTTTGAGAGGACATTTTAAATGGCAATTTTTGAAATATGATCCTCCAAGGAAACTTGATTGGCCAAACTGAGTTGATACCTCTAGCTACAGATTTTGTAGGAATTGATGTAGATGTCTTTGTTAAATATAATTAGCAGGTAGCATATGGAGGTTTGGTTTGGGACTCAAATGAAAAGTGGATGTAGAGCTAATAATGTCAAGCTTGACAAGCCAACTCAAATTTTAAAAAAATAATTTTTTAATGTTTGGCCCAAATAAGTCTAAAGAAATTATAGCCAAGCTCGATCGGGTTCTGGTCTAACCCACATACTTGAATAAAAAAATAAATTCTTTAAAATATAATAAATATAATTAATTTTTTAAATTTTATGTCTTTTTATACTAAAATATTATATATTTGAGTGCATTATTATAGTTATTTTATAAAAAAATTAAAAATATTTGTACTATCATATTTTTATTATTTTTTGTCAATAGAATATCTCAAAATATATTTAAAATACATTTTAATATTGAATTTTATATTTTAAGACCCATATTTTTTTAAAAAAAGTTGAGTCCTATACATCACTTACATATTCAAAAAAATATATTTTATATTTTTTATAAAATAAGATAAATAATTTTAAAGTAAAAATAAAATTTAAAATAAATTTAAAAATAAAATTTGGGCATGTACGAACTTTTAACTCTACTACTAGATAAATATAATAAATAGAATAATATTCTTAGATAATTATTTAGTTATCATTCACTTTAGACTTGGTTAAAAATTAAGAATAAACTAGAATAAATACCATTTGTATTTAGAGATTAAACAATATAAGGAGTCAAATAAAAATAATTCAAAATAGTATTTTATTCATAATTAAATAATTTTTTTATATAATATAATCATGGCTATTTTTCTCATATTTTTAAAAATAAAAAGTACAGTTTACTCAAAAGTTATTAAAAATTTTGAACTAATAAAAGCAATGATTTTAAGTTAGTGTTCTAATTGTGATTAAATTAAAATTAACTTGATTATAATTAAAATAATATAATATAATTTACTTAAAATATATAAAATAGTTATATATGATCATGATAAGAGAAATATTTAAATAATTAAGACATTAATTTATAAATGAAGGAAACATTTAAGAATAAATTATATATAATACAACAAAATGTAATAGAGCTACTTAAGTATAAAGTTGATAAATTATTATTTTTTATTTTATTCTTTTAAAATTAAAATAATATTTTATGCTT